AGCACCTCCAGTGGCCATCTGAGGAGCTGTCCCTACGGGCAGGGGCGTTTTAGCCGCGAGGCAAACAAGGCATTTGCCTTGGGCGGCATTTTTCAGGGGGCGGCAAAAAAAGCCGCCCCCCAAATGCCCAAGGCAAATGTCATGTTAGCCTTGCCGCCCACCCAGCAGCCACTGGACCACCAGGGAGATAGAGAACCCCTTCCCTCCCCAGCACTCCCAAAGGTAAGGAGGCTGGAGGGGGAGGGGGGAGGTTTAAAAAGTACATGTGTTAATGTGAGTGTGTGTGTCTGTTAGTGTGTGTCTGTTAGTGTGTGTGTCTGTTAGTGTGTGTCTGTTAGTGTGTGTCTGTTAGTGTGTGTGTGTTAGTGTGTGTGTGTCTGTTAGTGTGTGTGTGTTAGTGTGTGTGTGTGTGTGTTAGTGTGTGTGTCTGTTAGTGAGTGTGTGTTATTGTGTGTGTCTGTTAGTGTGTGTGTCTGTTAGTGTGTGTGTCTATTAGTGAGTGTGTGTGTATGTCTGTTAGTGTGTGTGTCTGTTAGTGTGTGTGTCTGTTAGTGAGTGTGTGTTATTGTGTGTGTGTGTCTGTTAGTGAGTGTGTGTTAGTGTGTGTGTGCCTGTTAGTGAGTGTGTGTCTGTTAGTGAGTGTGTGTCTGTTAGTGTGTGTCTGTTAGTGTGTGTGTGTCTGTTATTGTGTGTGTCTGTTAGTGTGTGTGTCTCTGTTAGTGAGTGTGTGTTAGTGAGTGTGTGTCTGTTAGTGAGTGTGTGTTAGTGTGTGTGTGTCTGTTAGTGAGTGTGTCTGTTAGTGTGTGTGTGTGTCTGTTAGTGTGTGAGTGAGTGTGTCTGTGAGTGAGTGTGTCTCTGCTAGTGAGTCTCTGCTAGTGAGTGTGTGTGTGTGTGTATTTAGAAGGCGGGGGAAGGGATGGGAGGGGTCACGCGCGCGGGGCGGAAGGGATGGGTGGGGGTCGCGCGCGCAGGGGCGGATGGGGGGCGCCTGAGTTTTGTCCAGCCTAGGGCAGCACAAAACCAGGATACACCACTGCCTACGGGGCAATAAAAACACTGCTTTTTTCTGAAAAGGCAGTGTTTACATAAAAATGCCTGCAGGAATGATTATACTCATCAGAGCAACTACATTATTGCCCCTTTATGCTTTTAAGAAGCTGCATAAATAACATTTATTTACAGGAACCATCCAGTAATGTGCAACACACATAATAACACAATGTGGTCTCTTCATTAAAAAGAAAATGATAATAAACTGAAAACCGACTTTAAAATGTAGGCCAAAATATCAGACAAAAGGTTTCCATTTCATCAAAACTTTTTTTTTTCAACTCTGCTATTTAAGTATTCATTTTCCAAATCAGGGCTCATTTTCCCTCAGCCCTCCATTCATTTCCACTAATCAGTGTCCATACACAGTAAATACAACTCTGTACATTTGCTGCGTCACTACAATTCAGGATGTATGGTGGCAAATTTTTTTATGCCTAACATGACTTGCTAACCAGTATTAGTGATGTTGATAAACACATCAAGCAGTTTTAATCAATATAATGAAATGTGTTATGAACTTTGGAAAACATCATATGGGTTTTTGGACACTGGCCAGTTACTGAACGCGCTCGAGAAGAGTGGATTCACTCATTTTAATGCCAGTAATGTCTGATACTCAGTCAAATTAATTTACTAATGGTTACAAATGATATAATGTGCACAGGAACATGTGAAGTAATTGTATCATACTTTATGTTCTAATAACTTCACCTTTACCATAAATACAGATTGAATCTTGGAAGAAGCCATTAGACTCAGGCGAGTGAATCAACATCCTGTGGACTCATAAACATCTCTCATCAAGCAATATGAAGCTGTAATGGTGTAACAACAAAGGGCAACAGACCACGAGACTCAAGGCATTCATCTTTCTGAATGAGTGGCTTTTAATGCTTACAGAACCTTTAATAGCATTAGCGATATGATCAGAGTACAGAATGATATAGAGTAATGCGAGCAGGATTGCAATATATTCCACACATACATTTCATAATGGTCGAGACAATAATCCGTGTGATATTATTCAACTCAAGGTCTTTTATTGCATGAATATTAGTCTAGATAATATATGTATGTTTCTTTGTCACATAGTATAGGACGTATTAATCTAACCTTCCATCAATGCATTTGGGACACTTCTCAAAAGCAACTCTTTTCTCAATAACTATAATTATATTTATTTTTGTACATACTGTAATTTGTACTAGTAAGTATGTGAGCATGCTATTTTTCTATAATCTCTTCAAAAATGGGAACAGCACAAACACACCTACGCTTTTAAACTGTCCAAAACTGCTCCAAATCAACTAACGCAAGCAAAAATTATATAGATTACGTTATACCATGTTAAAGGGAGTTTGTAATTACGTAAAAAAGAACATTTTTATGCTCTTGAGCCTTCAATTTGTCTTCCAAATATCATGAAATATTAACCATTGCTTCTAATGATAATATGGTCTCTTTTGGGAAACTGAAATCACTTTGTGACTTGTTCTCATTGTTACCAAAGGAAGCACTGCCCAGTAATTATATTTATGAAGAGAGAATTTAATGGAGCAATAAGTGCTGTTGAAACACAGGCTTTGATCAATCATATGCTATCATTAGATAATTATCAATTTGCTTAAAAATCGTTGATTCTTTGAATTCAGAGAGACATTTTACCATCTGCATTGATGTCACATGCATAAAACGTTAGAACTGTGGGCTTCCCACAGTCACACTTTTTAGTTCTAATTAAATCATTTTTAAAATAACGTATGGAATGAGAAAGACAGTGGACCCCGTGTTTACTCATCTCTATGTTTTGGCTTTGGAAGTATTAGCTATTCGTACAAGAAAATGTTGTGAGAAATGTACTGATGTCACAAGGATAAAAGTTCCAAATATACCTGAACGGAAAATAAGTTTATTTGCAGACTGTATCTTGCTACGTATCACATTTCCTTTGATGGCACTATCTGTGCTTTTTAGGGTATTGTCAGATTGTGAAAAAAGATTGTAAGAAAGTAATAATAATAAATGACAAGCCCTGTCTAATCATTCACTCAAAGAGAAATTGTTCTTAGATTATATTATACATTTGATTGAAGAGCTGAATTTGTTCTTTATTTAGGAACCCAGTTACAGAAAAATATTGGCTCTATAACAGAAGACAATTTAAGGCAATTTAAGACATTCCGGGATGGCTAGTAAAGGGGCTTTGATGGGGTGAACTGAAATGGTAATCCTTTCCAAACTTGTTTACTTACTAGGATTAGTCCCTTGCTATATCCACAATACACACAAGGATGGACAGATAGATCCTCCATATGTTCTACTGTAAAAACATCTATAATGGTGTAGAATATTGCATATTCTATGTTTCTATTGATTATATGTGGATGTGTGGATTGGCATAAGTAACAGATGGTATAAGTCACAAGGCTTTCTTTGTTCGAGAGCTCTGGAATGTGGATTTGGGGGTCTTGTCCTTATATGGCTAGAGTTAAAGTCTGACGTCATTATGGCACTTCTATATAGTAACGGAACAAAGAGACACGAGGTCTCTTGGCTTTTGGCTCTCTCTTGGCTCTCTGGCTCTCTCTCGATGTAAAGATGTAACTCTCCCGTCAGAAGTCCAGCAATTACCATCTGCTGTTGAATGTCCATTATCCTGTAACATCATTTGTTGTTTTATTATGTATCAGTAACTAAGAATAAACCTGAAGAAACCGTAAGTCAGATTGCGTATTAGTACTTTTCATTAATATAGACATATATTAATTTTGCGAGCATTATATTTGGCCCAAGACTATATATACAAAAGACATATATATATCAATCAACTGAAGACAAGAAGAAATTAAGAAGATTCAACATTGTCGATCCGATTCAAACCAGATTTTACAAATGGCAGCTGAAACATCTTTACATTTAGTGAATTACCCTGAATGTTTATGTTTTCTTTTTTTCTTGTGTGTCCTGACTGCGCATGAACTGATTTGGATTGTGATGTCACTTGCCAAAACATTTAATCTACATTTGAAAGAAAATTGATAATTACATAAAACAAAGTTAAACCGAGTTATAGGTGATTTGTAGTTATAGTCAAAGCTGACATTTCACAAGTAGGGACAGTTCCTCGTTCAGATAAATATATTTCCTTTACATCGCCTATCCAACTATCACCTTATTATAAATGTGTTTTAATGAAACTGAGACAAAGCAAAAGTGTATTTTTATTTATTTAAACATTATTATGTTTTATGCCAATGCATGACTGACCTTGCCTAGAGTTCTGTTATGTGCCCGACATGCAGGACCTTGCCTAGAGAGCTCTAGAAATAATTTGAGTGCCCTTTGAACAGCACATGCAGTTCCTTGGTGCCCCCTGATTCAGGAACTACATTGGGACGATGGGACAGAAGCCTAAAATTGTACTGTCTATTGTCTACTGACTATTGGGAGCTCTGCTATTACTGCAGCAATAAGCTTACATTTTAAATAAGCAGGTAAACAAGAGCGTGACAAATAAAGACATATACTCTCTGCACAGTATTCAGGGAATTTGCTATTTATATTTTATACTTTAATTCATAATCTTTAATATATAATAATAAAAATTCCAGCCAATCCATATGCATCTAGAATTAAAATCATGTTAATAAATGGAACATGAACAAATAAGTGTAAACTAAAATATTAAATTCCAAGAAGTAAAAATCCATAGCTCTTATATTTCAACTCATCTAAATGTATACACTTATATAAACTAAACTGAAGCATCACTGCTTCTTCAAATGGCTTAATGATATTTCTTCCCAGTGGGAACTCTTGTAGTAATGAGAAATGAGTGCTAGGACTATTAAAATGGGAGAAAAAGGAGGGTTTCGGAAAAAATCAGTCTTTTAATCTTCTGCTCCAATTCAGTTGTATGTCTCTCATGAAAATTAATATTTTTACTGCTACAAGTTTCCAACCTCATAAGGGATGTAGTCTTCCAAACAAATTACCTGAACACTAATGGGGTTCATGATATATTTGTCTTCTTTTGTGATGATTGGTATCAATTTGTCATATTCCAATTTAGTTCCAGTGAGGGTTTTCTGAATTGCCCCAGAGAGGCACTGCATGGACATGATCCAACAATCTGGAAGAAAACAAACGAAATGCAAATCATTATCAAATGGACGATATACATTTTCTCTTGAGTTCTGAATAATTTGTGAAAATTTAAACATAGCTATTGGGGTGTCTGCAGGGCCAGATTAAGAGCCCAGTGGGCCTGGTGCTGACAATTATGATGGGGCCTAATTACAGAATTGTCACGGCCACCGGCTCGCCGCGAGGTGCAGTGGCACCGGACCAGACTGACCGCGCCAACGAACTGAGCTTATCTGCTCAGCGGCGAGTCGGGAGCAGCTCTGCCGGGTTCTCTCTTGGTTCAAGATGATGCCGAACATGTAGTCGCAGCCAGATATAGCTCTGCCCCCCAGGGTCACACACACGTTCTGCAGTTAGAGGCCAGAGGGATATTTAACCTAGGTTATTGCCCTGTCGTGGTTTTCGTTCCTGGTTCCTCAATCCTTGGAGTGCGTTTTCTTGTCCTGTTTTTGATATTCCCAGTATTTTGACCTTGGCTATTCCTGACTATTCTGATTCCTGGCTTCCCTGACTTGGCTTGTTAAATGGGATTGTATATTTCTGGCTCCCTTGACCATTCTCTGTTTTTAACGTATTAGTCCAGCCATTCTAAGAACCGGTTAACGTTTTATCATTTTCTGTTCTGTCTATGTAGATGTTACATAGTTCTGCGTGCTGGACCACACTAGCAGTCATGACAAGTATCTTATCGACCATAGACACTAAAACAGTCATACCTCTCAAGCGTCAAGTATCTAATGGAGATGGTGTTGGAGGGAAACTCAAAGGATGCAGCTTTAAGAAAACACATACTCTATGCTAATCTCTTTCTAATTTATGCTTTACTCTTTCAAGTAAATCCATACCCCCTAACAGCAGTGTCCAGTGAAGCAGCAAGTCAATGGGGACACTGGGAGAAATGGGGACACAGACACTAGGGATACAGAGACACAGACACTGGAAGATATGGGGACACTGAGAGACATGAGGATACTGAGACACTAGGGACACTGGCTGGGAGGCATGGAGACACAGGCATGGAGACACTTGGGGACACTGGGAGAAATGGGGACATTTGGGGACACTGAGAGACATGGGACACAGACACTGGGAGACATGGGGACACTGAGACACTAGGGGGACTGGCTGGGAGACATGTGGACACTGGGAGGCATGGGGACACAGACATTTGGGGACACTGGGAGGCATGGGGACACTGAGACACTAGGGGGACTGGCTGGGAGACATGTGGACACTGGGAGACATGGGGACACAGACATTTTGGGACACTGGGATACATGGGGACACTGAGACACCAGGGACACTGAGAGACATAGGGATAAAGACACTGGGAGACTAGGGGACACTGAGACAGCAGGGACACTGGCTTGGAGGCATGGGGACACTGTGTACCATGTGTCTCTGTGTCTTAGTGTGTCTCCCAATGTCCCCATGTGTCTCAGCATCCCCATATCTCACAGTGTCCCCTAGTGTCCCCTAGTGTCTCAGTGTCCCCATGGATCCCTGCTGCCTTTCCCCCCCATACTTCACTTACCTGGCCTGTAGTCTGTCTCTGCAGTCTGGGAGCTGCTGTCTGGACTCTCTGTGCTGTGTAGCTGCTCCCCGCAGATCAGTGATTAGAGAGAGACAGGGAGGGAGATGCTGTAACTTCCTATCCCTGCCTCTCTCCACACACAGTGACCACTACTGGTTAGTGCTGGTATTACAGAGTAATCTCCATTTATACTGAGAAAAATAACTGCATTTGTATTGCCGGTATAACTGCAATACCGGCACGGCCAGGCAGCCTCAAATACTGGTAAAATACCAGTCAGGTGGCAAACCTAAGAGTAATGTGTGTAAAAAAAAAAAAAAAGTAAAAAAGTTATTATTATTTTATTTTTTTTAATGGGCCTATTCCATGGGCCTGGGCCTGGGCCTGGAGCTGCAGCTCCACCAGCCCCTATGTTAATCCGGCCCTGGGTGTCTGGATGAGAGTGGCCCAAAGGGATATTTTAAACTAGAGCTGACCTATTTTTTTAACACTATATATACACATAGTTGGGATCAAAATTATTAAACCCACATTGAAAAACAGGTTTTTTGTCAAAATTCACAGACTGTTTGCAATGGACAAATAAAAAAAATACAGTTTTGAAATAGCTTAACACAACGAATGCTTCAAGTGGTTTCTCCAAATTTAACTGAAAATGCTTCTTATAATGATATCTCCAGTCTCAAAATGATTCAACCCCTTCATCTTTTGTACTTAGTAGAGTACCCCTTTACTGTTATCAGTTGCCCCGGGCCCAGTCAGTCTTAGGGGGCCTAAAGCAGCTGCCCCTTTAGCCCTCAGGCCGCCGCGGTGCGTGTGTACCACCGCGGGCCGCGCTATGTGGAGGCTCATCGGGTGGCCAATGCTCTCAGGGCCCCCCGATGGCAAATGATTTTCAGGGTCCCGGTTGAGCTCATCCTGTGATGATGTCAGGATGCTGGGAGAAAGTGAGAGCAGGTCACTTCCTCCCAGCATTCACCGAGCGCCGCACAGGAGGAGGAGAAGGAAAGGAGGGAGTCAGAGTGGGAGCTCTGACTCCCATCATCCTGAGCCAGCCTCCTGCAGTCCAAAGGTAGGAAACACATAAAACATGTGCATGTATGTATATGTCTGTTTGTATGTATGTGTCTGTCTGTATGTATGTGTCTATGTATGTATGTATCTGTATGTATGTATGTATGTGTCTGTTTGAATGTATGTATGTCTGTTTGTATGTGTGTATCTGTTTGTATGTATGTATCTGTATGTAAGTGTATGTATGTATGTGTCTGTATCTATGCATGTGTGCATCTGTTTGTATGTATGTGTGTATGTGTTTGTATGTGTGTGTGTGTCTCTTTGTATGTGGGTATGTGTATCTGTTTGTATGTGTGTGTGTTTCTGTATCTGCATGTGTCTCTATGTGACCCTGTGTATCAGTATGTGTTTCTGTGTGTTCGTATGTGTCTTTGTATATATGTATATCTGTGTGTCTCTGTGTCTGTTTGTATATGTGTATGTCTATATGTGTATATGTTTGTATGTGAATCTGAGTGTGTGTATGTTTGTATGTGTGTCTGCATGTCTTTGTATCTGCATGTGTGTCAGTGTGTATCTGTATGTGTGTCTGTGTATCTGCATGTGTGTCTGTGCTTGTATATGTGTGAGTGTCATTCTCTGTATTTGAATGTGTATCATTCTGTGCGTATGTGTAGCTGCATGTGTGTCTGTGTGTGTATCTGTATGTTATTGTGTGTATCTGCATGTATGTCAGTGTGTTTGTGTGTTAGTGTTTCTGTTTATCTGCATGTTTGTCAGTGAGTGTCTCTGTGCATCAGTGTATGTAGGTGTGTCAGTGTGAATCTGTGTATCTGCATGTGTGTCTGTTAATGCACTTGTGTGTCTGTGTATCTCTCTATGTATGTCTGTACCTGTGTATGTGTGCATCTCTATGTATGTCAGTGTTTGCATCTGTATTTGTGTTAGTGTGTATATTTTGTCTCAGTAAGAAATGAGAGTGTGTGTTTTTTTTTATTTTTGTGTGGGAGTTGATGGCGTGATTGCATGCTAGGAAGGGGAAGAGCTAGGTCAAGGAGCCCCAATCAAATACCTGCCCATGGTCCAATCAGTATTAAAGATGGCCCTGACTGTAATGACCTACTGCAAACAAAATGTGTAGCCAGACAGCATCTTCTGGCAGCGTTCATGAGGAATCTTAGCCCATTGCTCATGAGCAATGACCTCCAGTCCAGTAATATTCTTGGGTTTGCATGCTGCAACTGCCAGATGCTTTCTGTGGGGTTCAAGTCAGGTCACTGTGATGGCCACCGTAGATTTTGTCTTCTTCTGCAGCCAAGCCTTGATGGAACTTGAGGTATTCTTGGAATCATTATCTTCAGCTACCTCACAGGTGGCTTGACGTTTCCTCTTGGTATTTCCTGATATTTCAATTAATCCATCTTGCCTTCCACATGCTGCAAGTTCCCAGTGCCAGAGGATTCAAAGCAGCCTCAGAGCATCACCGAACCACCACCATGCTTAACTGTAGGCAGAGTGTTCTTTTCAGTGTATGCCTCATTCTTCTTCCTTCAGACATACTGCTGATTCATTGGGCCGAAAAGTTCCAGTTTTGTTTCATCGCTCAACAGAACCTTGTTTATACAGTTTTGAGAATATAGGAGACGGCTTTTCTTGTGCTTTTGGGTCAGTAGTGGTGCATGTCTTGGAGTTCTGGCATGAAAACCTCCTGTGTTTAGTACGCACCTTAATGTTGTAACTAATATTGAAACTGGTATATATATATATATATTAAAACCACTGACACATGAAGGGAATAACATTGATTATATCATTACAATGGCACCTGTCACACGGTGGGATATATTAGGCAGCAAGTGAACAGTCAGTTCTTGAATTTCATGTGTTGGAAGAAAGGGTGAGCAAAAAGATCTGACTTATTTTTACAAGGGCTAAATAGTGATGGCTAGACAACTGGGTCAGAGAATATCCAAAATGGCAAGTCCTGTGGGGTGTTCATGGTATGCAGTGGTTAGTGTGTACCAAAAGTGGTGCAAGGAAGGAAAACCAGTGAACCGGAGTCATTGTCATGGGCGCCCAGGGCTTATAGATGTACTTGGTGAGCGAAGGCTAGTCCATCTGTATCACACAGAAGAGTTACTGTGGCTCAAATTGCTGAAAAACTTAAAGAGCTGCAACCTCAACACTATTTTCTTATATAATTATCCTTTCATCAAATTTTGAAAGGAAATCTATTCTTTATTAAATGAAGTAAATGTAGAAAATTGAGAAAAACTCATCCCTAACTTATGACATGATCATGTTAGTGGGTCTGATGATGGAGTGAAGCAGGGAAGACCATAGAGACTATATAAAGGTTTTCAAACACTGTGTCAAACTGCATGTATAGGACTGGGTAATCCTGTCATATTCTAAATATACTTAATTTAACAAAG